TTACATACATAGAGATACTTTATTGGCCTAAATTGCTGGTGACGCAGGCCGCATATTCTATCTACTGCGATTGCCAAAAATTTTGCGATATATAAAATAAATTTCCCTCATCCAATTAAGGGGAATATGCAAATATACACGGGCAGCTTAATTTTAAATTGACCCGAAGCGATACGTGAATTTTCGCCAGGATAAACTAATTATTATAGCAATTCCATTATATTTTTATCCTATTATTTTAATTAATCAATACTTATGTCGAGGGTAGATAGCTATAAAATAAACCATTTGCTATACCGGTAAACATCCTTAAAACTAATAAAAGTTTACGAAAGTTAAAGCACTCTTAAGCAAAACTGCTAAGAACCACATCATAGAAATAATCTATTGAAAGTCTATAATGAAACATTCCGTATTCTATACTAATATTATAAACGTGAAAGTGTGCTTGTGTTGCTAGTTTGTTTGTCCTCCTTTCACGTGGAAACAAAATAACGGATTGGCATATTTTTTTGTGTGGAGATAGTTAAGGCGTTGGAGAGTGACATAGACAACTTTTTCCGCGGGAAATTATCTCATTCTCTCGGGAGTACACGTTATAATACAACCCAAAAAATATTTATGGCTAGAATGACTTAAAATTTGGTATAAATGCTCTTCAATACAATTAAATAAATACGTGTTTTAGCATTTTTCGAAATTCATCCCATAAGGGAGTAAAATATGGGATGAAAGTTTGTATGAAACCTATCTTTTTAGAGTTTTTTTATAGTTTTAGCGCGAGCGAAGCCGCGGGTTCTGCTAGTATATAAGATATTTTATATGATTTATTGTTGCAGGCGTTCGTATGTTTGTAATAAAAACTTATTTGTTTTTTTTGTATTAATTAAGATCATTTTAAACAAAATAAATGACTCAAAATCTCTAAGTTCTCCGGTATTCGAACTATACTAGGAGCTTTATATTTAAAATTTTCAAATCCAACAGAGCTTTTTAGCTGCTAAGTTCAATTTAACTTGCTAGATACGTGTCAGCTGGTCGCCAAAAGTTTGGAATGTAGTGAATTTATTTCGGCTCAAAAGTATGTTAACTCAACCTAAAGTGTTTTCGTAGATACTTTATAACCCCGCTATTACTATTTACTGCACTATTTATTTATTTTTATATTACGTATATTTTTATGAATATGAAAGTCTTTGGAGGATATGACGTAGCCTTATTTTATTATACACTTAAAAAAAATTTATTTGTGCAACATATAAGTGTATTCAATATACATAAGAGACTTCAAAACCGTTACTTATAATATAATATTATTGATATATATATATATATATATATATATATATATATATATATATATATATATATATTAAATTTGTCATATACCATATATTCATTCAAATGATATAAATTAATGCAATAGCAGTCAAACATAAATATAAAAACAAATAAAATTAACTACCAATTCAAGCTTATAAAATTTTAGTACGATTGTTTTTTATTTCTACTAAAAGTTGAGAAAATATATTTAAAATGTTATAAAATGTACAAAAATAATGTTTAAAGTAGTTTAATGTCAAGTATCTCGTTAGTGAAATTGAATAAAATTGTAAGAACAGCATAATGTACGAGTACACACTGGGCACACATTCTACAAACGCGACATGTGTTAGCTTCGCAATAATGCCACATAACAACGTTATTATAAACATAATTTTGTTTTACTTACAGCTTCCAACACAAGTAGTTACTTCTACGCGATGATAATTTTTAGATTAAAGTTTTTATTCACTTGTTGTACTTGTATCACAGAAGTTAATGACAATTATTATGTAATTCATTCGCGTTTTCCCGCGGGTCCACCTGTGTTGTTTAATTTTGTAGTGTTACTCCACTTTTGTAGTAGTGTGATCCAAGATAACCTATAATTTCAATAAACGCAAAAATAATCTTTTTAATCGGAGTAGTAGATCCAAAGATTAGCGCGTTCAAACAAACAAAAAACAAACGAACGAACGAATGAACGAACTAACGAACGAACAAACAAACTAACTCCTCCGGTTTATACGTAAAAAAATATAGATAATTAATTTAAAATATTTATACATTGTTTTTATTATAACATTAAGAGTTTTACTCTAATAATTCGGTTCTATATTTAAGAATAAGACTTAATTCAAATTGAAAAATAATTAAGATAGTATTTAAATCTGATTTAGAATAATGTTTTGTTGCAAATAATTTTCTTAATTGTACAACATTTTTTTTTAAATAAAAATATTATTTTCAATCATTATTTACAAATATGTGCTAATTTATTGAACTTGTTGTAAACAAGTCCATAAATTAATTAATTAATTAATATATTTGATTAACTTTTAAAGATTTCGGGCATAAAACCCTAGTACTAATAAAAATCACTTTATAATTATTACACGAGATACCTTTCCATATACAGATAGACATTATAAAATAAACATCACAGATTTATTAACAC